GGGGTGTGGAAGCGTGGGGAGAGATGCGGGAATGTGGGGGTGTGGAGGGCACGGGGCAGGACTGGGGGATGCAGGGGAAGGGGTGTGAGGGATGCCGGAAGGTGAGGGAGCAGGAGGGGTGGTGCTGGAGGGTTCCAAAGGGTCATCTCAGTAATCAAGATCAATGTTTTTATAACAAATTTTTTTAAAAAATCAAAATTAATGCAAAATATCCACGATGAGCAGAAAGTGAAAATTTCAACCCAAGACGACCTGGCAGAGCCAAGATTAGGAGGAGCCTGGGGCAGTAGGTCGAGTCCTGCCTTTATTTAAAATTCCTATATTTAGTTCACTGCGGTTTAATTTTTATTTTTAAAACTACTCTACTAAGATTTTATTTATTCTGATTACTGAGGGTCTGGGTGCCCCCTAAATTTGGGGCCCGAATGGGAAGCCCCCTCCTCTTCCAGGTTGGGCACGGTCCCCTGAGCCCCAGGGTTGGCAGTTTGATTCCAGGTCAGGACACTTCGCTTCCCCAAAATTCTCTGCTACCACAATGTTCTAAAGAACACGCTGAAGCCGCATGACACTGACGGGGAATCGAACCCCGATCACCTGGATCCTAGGTCGAAGCTCAACTGCTGAACCAGAGCTGCCAGGCTGCTAGATTGTTGTTTTTTCTATCAAAGAGCTCTATCCGGTGGGGATGCCTGTCTCCCCACATCCTCACTCACGCATGGTATTATTATCTATAATTTTTTCTATGCCTGTCATTGTTTCAGTGTGAATCTTCTGGTTCTTCGTGTGAGCATTTCTACACATTCTCGTTGGCCGTTCGGGCTTCCGCTTCTGTGAATATCCTTTTCGTTACTTTTGACGATTTTCTCATAGTGTTTCCTATCATTTTCTAAATGGTTTGTCCAACAGACTTGCATAGTACAGGTTAGGGTTTCTGAACCTCAGCGCCATTGACATTTGGGACTGGGTGATTCTTTGCTGGAGGGGGGGCTGTCCTGGGCATTGTAGGTTGTGTGACAACGCCCCTGCCCCTTCACCAGGCTCCCAGTCCTGACAATCCAAACCATGTTCAGAGATCGCCAATGGCCCCCAGTTGAGGACCACTGGTGCAGGCAGTGACCCCTTATTTTAGGATACATTTCTCTTGGGTCTTTCTGGGGTAAGAGTTGGGTCACCGTTGGGGAATTTGGGGTCCATCTCTCTACCCCACCACACAAACATCCTAGTCCTCTCGACGCAGCCACGTGCCTCACCTGTGTCTCCATGGACCCTTGGAGCTGGTGAAGGATGCCCTGGGCTCCTGGTAGTGCCAGTGGTAAGAGTGAGTCCAGGTACATCTGTGGTCCCTTTGGCCAAGGCCCCTCCTGAAGGCGTGTCCCTTGTCCAGGAAGACTCGTACCTGTTCTCACCACCTTGAGAGACATGAGAGAACTAAGTGTCCCTCCCCCTTGATCCTGACCCTCTGCTCCTGCTGGGCCCCAGCTCAGGCCTCTCATCCTGTCTGACGGGCCCATTGCCCAGATCTCCTCCCTGACCTTGCAGCCACCTTGGCCACTCAGTCGAGATGTTCTTGGCTACCAAGAACAGAAATCGGAACTAAACTAGCTCATTCTTTAATCCCCTCCCCCAAGAAAACCCTATAATATCTTTATTACTAACCTACCTGGAATAGTTCCATAATATCATTTTCCCTGTTTGTTTAGCTGAGTACATTTGGACAATCTCTACTTGACAATTTTCTATAACATATACAAATATAACATATATATAAAAGTTTATTTCCTTATTTATTTATTTAATCCTAACTTGAGAACATGGGGTTTGGTTTGGTTTTGTTTTTTTGAGAGAGAGGAAGGGAAAAAGAGAGAGGGAAACATCAGTGTGAGAGAGACAAATCCATTGGCTGCCTTCCGCAGGCACCCTGACCGGGGCCAGGGATTGAACCTGCAATCCAGGTACGTGCCCTTGGCCAGGAATTGAACCGGAGACCCTTAGGTTTGCAGGCCAATGCTCTAACCACTGAGCAACACTGGCCAGGGCAATAAGCTGTTCTTTGAAAGAAATACTTAGACCTGTCAATCCTTTCTAACCTCTGGATAATACTCTAACATCAGAATACACAAACACTGATTTATCTCCACCTCTCTAAAAATCAATAAAAATATTTTAAAATAATTATAAACCAAGTGGGCCCAATCTAATAATACAAATCCTTAAAACTGGAAAATTTTTCCTCAGCTTTAGTGACAGAGAAAGATGTGAAAACAGAAGGGACAGACAGAGGCAAGTAGCTGGTTTTGGAGAGGGGAAGGGGCCATAGAACAAGAAATGTGGCTGCCTCTAGAAGCCAGAGAAGGCAAGGAGACCGACTCTCTCCTGGAGCCCCCAGAAGGCAGGCAGCCTCCTGAGGCCCCTGTCTCACCCCTGACCCACAGGACTGCAAAATAAGCGGGTGTTGCCTGAAGCCACTGTGTGGTGATGTGTTTGGGACACAGAAACTGATACACCTGAATGCACGACAGAGCTAACAATCTAGGGAAGATGACAAAGTCCTGGACCTGCAATGCCATTATCTCAGTCTAAGAGGCTGAGATAGAACAAGGAGAACTACAGAAAACATAGAAAAAAACCCCGAAATGCAACTAACATGGCAAGCAACAGCTACTATCTCCCTGAGACATTGAACCCTAACCGTAACCCTAACCCTAACCCTATCCCTAACTCTAGCTCTAACCGTAACCCGAGCTCTAACCCTAAACTTAGCCCTAACCCTAACCCTAACACTAACCCTAGCCCTAAACCGAACCCTGGCCCTAACCCTAACCCTGGCCCTAACCCTAACCCTAGCCTTAACCTTAACCGTAGCCATAACCCTAACCCTAACCCAAGCCCTAACCCTAACACTACGCCTAACCCTAACCCTAGACCTAAACCTAACCATAACACTAGCTCTAACCCTAACACCAGTTCTAACCCTAACCCTAACCTAAGGCCTAACCCTAGCCCTAACCCTAGACCTAGCTCTAACCCTAACCCTAGCTCTAACCCCAACCCTAAACCTAACCCTAACCCTTACCCTAACCATAAAACTAGCTCTAACCCTAACACTAGTTCTAACCCTAACGCTAACCTAAGGCCTAATCCTAACCCTAACCCTAACCATAAAACTAGCTCTAACCCTAACACTAGTTCTAACCCTAACGCTAACCTAAGGCCTAATCCTAACCCTAACCCTA